CACTCATGTTTCCATCCCTTTGATGATGAAATAAATGCATTTAATGTAGATGAAAATTTCATAGTTACTGTCGGTAAGTTTTATTCGTTAGATCAAAACGATTTATATATTATTTGTGTCATTCATTATTGAGAAAATAAACATAAAATGACGTCAATCTACTATTACAGTAAAAAAATATTGAATATTGATAAATTGACTGCAATAAAGTATAATCATTTATCATTGTCCAATGTTGTTTTTGTACAATGGATAATTTGTTCACACCATGGTTATTCATGCTTTGTACTACAATTCAATATCGAATTTATACCTTTTTTATTAATTTTAATTTTTAGTGATGAGAGAGGAGTATGATAATAATTTTTCCGAACCTGGGACTAGCACATGTCAGCTGACAAATAATAAAGATGACGAGCAGCAGGAAGTTAACATAGATGAATTACTTATTACTTGTGTGGCCATAAAAATGAGAGCAGCAAAAGTACTTCTTAATAAAAAATATTATCCTGAAGTGTTAAAATTCACTACTTTTACATCTCAGTAAGGCATAACTAATGTACATTTAAATATAATATTCTAGTAAACAACATAATTATAAAAATAAAATTCTTTTGGGGTATCTGAATACGCCTACCTACCTACTTGCGTTTCGAAAATATTTTCAATATTAATGTATCACGAGAAGCCTGAAAAAGGACAAGCGTTCTTGTATGCATACGTGTTTTCCGTTCCGCTAAAATACGTTTCCTAATGTCCCATTGAGCGGAATTTGCGGATGCGCAATCGATGTGAGCCAATGACAAACGCTATTCCGGTAAATCTAATGAAAGCGATCTACGGGAAGACTCTTGCAATTGGTTAGCGCTAATTGCGCATTCCGCAAATTTCGCTCAATGGGACATTAGGAAACGTATTTTAGCGGAACGGAATCGGCGGAACTCATCACGAACGTTCCGCAGTTCCGTATTTCCGTAGTTCCGCATTGCATGGGACCGCACCCTGATGTTATACGGGCCGCTTTTCTTGCGCACGCGCAACGGTAGAGTCACGTGAACCAATGGTGTCTCCCGCTCGCCTAGCCGCTTTAGCCGGAGTGATTCCGATTGATCACGGCTCCCCCCGG